TGATACATCGAGCTTGGGTCATGATGGAAAGCTCAAGAATCTGAAATAAACAGTGGTACAATTGTCGCACGGGGAATGGACCGGGAGTCTCTATGTACATGATGCATTCTGACAAACATGAGTTTTACAAGCCATACAATGTCTACCAAGGATCCCGTCCTCGGTAGGCTTCTCTATACACTGACCATGACCCAAGGAGCTATCGCCGGACACCGCTGACACTGAATTCGATTTGAGTTCCGCCACAAACATATCGTCACTCATCCTCAAGCAGGTCCTCGCCCTCGCCATCCAAGATATCGTCATCCTCCGCCTTCTGCATGACCTTCTCAATCAACTTCAATGTTGTCCTTAGCGGGAGGCCAACCACATTATCAAAACTGCCATCTATCTTCTCCACCAAAATTGCTCCGGTGCCTTGTATCCCATATCCGCCCGCTTTGTCCGCTCCTTCTCTGGTCCTTACATATGCCAAAAGCAATTCGTCCGTCACTTCCGAGTCGAATTTGACGGTAGTTTCCTCGGTGGAAGTCTCGATGGCGTATCCGGGATCTCTTGCACTTTCGAGGGGAGCGACCACGCACACGGCAGTGTAGACTTTATGTATCCCCAAATCCCTTAGGCCTTTCAGCATAGCGATGTGATGGGCCTCACTTGTCGGTTTTTCTAAAATCTCTCCCAGTGAACTCACAACAATCGTATCTGCTGCAATGATCAATCCTGGTTCGCCTTTGGCTTCATTGTCCACCTCCTGTTTATATACTGCCAATGCCTTTTGCGTCGCAGTAGCCAGGACGTACTCGAATGGGGACAGTGTCTTTGGTAGGTTCTCTTCAAATTTCGAAGGGATTATCTCGACATTATGCAGTCCGATTTGACCTAGGAGTTGCTTCCGGCGAGGAGATTGGGATGCGAGAATGATGCGCTTGTTTCGCAGAAGGTTAAGGGCGGGGAGTTCCAGGGGTGGCGGAGGACGGAGGGGGCGGCGACCTGGCGGAGGCGCTGTACATGTTTGTATGCCTGTTGGAGGAGGGACGGAGAGAGTTTCGTAGGAAGGGGGATTGTCCGTCGGGACGCTGGTTTTCAGGGCCTCAGACATCTTAGCTTCTCTCTTGGTCTTGGTGCAAACCAAATCTCATTTGCGTGTCGCCTTTGGAGAGGATGGGACATGCGTCAGGTACGAGGCTTCGGCGGTGGCAGAAAAAGTTTCAGGTGTCTCCGCCATTTCTACACCTTTTCAACTGGGCGGCAATGCTTGACTCATGAACACCGGAATATTATTTCTGTGAAGAGCTTCTTCTGTTCTCTCAGCCGTGATTTCATGTCCGCATAGTCTTCCCTCTACATTGAGTGCTTGACACAACATGGCGACAACTCTCCGCCTCCGCTTCACTTGAGAATGGATCTGCTTTTTGAGATGTCTTCCATCTACATGTATAGTGGTTGACTTTTCGCACAGTAAGACACAGCACTACCAAAGCACTGCTGAATGCTGGCTACAAAGTCAACGTCGAGCGCAGCCCGGAATGGATCTTCGACGACTCCGAGTTTGAAGCTGTCGGCGCGACCCTGGTCCCCAAGCGCTCGTGGAAAGATGCTCTAGCAGACACATTTAATCGTCGGGCTTAAAGAGCTCCCCGAGGACAAATTTGCGCGCTCAAGCACACCAGAGGAGCTATCCAACGATAAGGTGAGCACGTTGCCAGAAGCCATGAGAGGCGGATGGAAGCAAATCACTGGAACAGAAATTGGCGAGGTGAATGGGGCAAGCCGAAGCTGAAGAGAATGTTGATACCCCCAAATAAACATCTTTGTACTGGGATGGTTATCAAGGATGATGTCGATATTGTTTATTACCATGATCTACTTTTTGGTTCCTTTGTGTCGCTATGCATTGCACGGCCGATCACTTGAGCTTTTTGGAGTCCTCTGTTTGCTTGCTCATTTCGTCCTATCTTCAAGGTCCGACCGCGAGAACTCCAGCGCTATGCGATGTACCAGTCGCTTTCTGATCTATCAGATATATGCTATGTTCGTTTGCGGAGTCCTTGCGTTCAATGCTGCATGGCAGCGTCCTCGTCTCTGCCCACATCCCCGATCTTTCGCTTCGAGCCTGTAGCTGTCTGAATCGGCTCTTCGCTGCCATCGTCAAAATATTCCGACACTTCCCATTCCACCCGAGTCAAACCGTCATTGCTGATTCCAACTCCGCGTCTTGTGTTTTGCGTTCGGCCCAGTCGGCTTCCCGCCAGCATCTCTTCAAACCAAGTTAGCCCTCCTGTTCGACCACTTCGATGTGTCCGAGTCAGTGGTTGGTTCTCTCGCGGTGTAGCAGAACCTTGCGCCATATCCTCGTCGCCCTGCTGCAGCGCCCCGGACATTGTAAATTGTTGCCCATCATCTGCGGGTGTTTCTGGTTCTACATCCTCGGGCAACAGGTCCAAGTCTTGTAGTGCGCGCAGGTCCTCGCTCAACAAACTTCCTAAAGTGATATTCATGTACTCTGCCTCTTCTGGCGGTTGTTCAGTCCAGTAGGACAGGTGCGTGCCGCAATAGCCGCAGAACACCCGCTGAGAGTGTGGTGTATGCAAGGGTGTGAAGGTTCTTCGAATAGAGGCATGGGTTTCGTCAGGGAAGAATGACTGTGTGGTTGATGAGTACCAGGACAACGGAACCCGGAGCCACGCCGTTAGCGGGGTTGCTTGACTTCGTCCTGACGAAGACATCGAAATTAGAGTGGTGGATAAGAATTAGGGTCGGAGTGAACTTACTGCTTTGGCTGCTATCGTCAAAGTAAATCAGCGCTTGTTCCGTAGCATCGGGCGGAGCTGTGATATAGTAGTGATTGCGGCCGCAGTTGCAGGCACCCTGGAGGGGTCGGATTCTGCTCATACTTCGTATGATCCCGCTACGGAGAAGTTGCGAGGTAAATGAGAGGTGTCTTGGACTGGGGCAATGAAAAATATAATGAAGCTCAAGATATAGCCCCCCTCTCCGTAGAACAGATGGAAGAATGGTCACCAGGATGCTGCGGCCGATCTGGAAAAGAACGGAAAGGAAATGCCATCAGAGTTCCAGAACATGCGCGGATTTTGCTAGCTGCAGGTGGGGTTATCTCCGTCCTCTCACCCTAGACCCAAAACGGAAATGGCGAGCCAAATCACCAACGACTGGTCAACGCCGTGAGAAAACCGAAGACTATTTCTGCCTTCAGCTCCTTCGCCTTGGACTTTGCCGGCGGATATATCAATCGTCCATCAATACCGCCTTGCCATCTATCAACAGCAGGGTCTCGCTGCCCACAATGTTGAGGGGCAGCTGAGATTTGCTGGCAGGTCACCAACCCAAGGTTACCCAGAAAGGGGTTCCTGCCATTCGTTTGTTCTTTTTCTTTCTCTCAATCCATCGTCAACGAAATCCGTCCCATCACCATGTCAAAAGAAGAGGGGACCGAGTCAAATACATCGTCTCGAGAATCTACTCCGGCTTCTGACACCCAGCCAAACACTTCCAAGTCCGGCTCAGCAAAAAAGGCGAACAAGGTTTCGAAGCCTCGTCTGACAGCATCGCAGAAGAACTTCAACCACAAAGATGCCGAGAACAAGCGACGCACAGCCATCCGTGAACGCTTTACCGAACTCTCACAACTCGTCCCGGGAGCTCTTGGTCATGAAAGGAGCGAGCAAATCATGCTGGGGAAAACCACTGAATTTTTGAGAAGCATGATCCTGGAACAACGTAGACTCGAAGAGCAGGCTCAAAAACAAGGCATCGCGATTGAGGACGGTGAGAGGCTGAGGGAGGATGATTTTGGTGGTCCGAAGTGGAGGGCAAGAAACATGGAGCAGTACGAGGCCGGTAAGCAGAAGAAAGAAGCTGGCGACTCCCAACAGGCAAACTATCAAGGAGAAGATGAGAATGACTAGCACAAGCCTCATTCTTGACCGCTGAGGATGCAACGAAAATGAAATTCTCGTCAACCCCACCGATCTCGAATCCTCATCCAAGGCCATTAGTAATTCATGGAGACCGAAGAAGGCATGGGCTTCCAGTTGGTGTTATTGGATAAAAGCGAGAGGTTTCAATGAGGGAAGAATTGTGATTACCATTTTCAATCACACGGAGTCTAGGTACTTCACTCAGTAGGAAACCATCTTAGGCTGCCGCACCCCCTCCAAACAACGGGACGACCTTCACTATCATGAGATTTACATTTTCAGAACCAGTTTGCGTCTACATGGCCTAAGGACCTTTTATTCTTAGGTCATGTCTCTGAGAAGTGACCGGCGCCCGTGCAACAAGGACAACATCGTCGTCTCGAGAATGCCAACGGGCCTTCGATCTCGAGACACCCCAACGCCTGGTCGTCGCTCTGTCGCTCCATCTTCGCCACATTCTTGCCCTCCTCAACTCGTCCCATTGAAACCGAGGTTGAGATCAGCACATTCGAATGTATCGCCTGTGACCCCAAATACTCTGGATGGTGGACCGAGGAAGAGATCTTGGGTCAATAGCGCCTCTAAACATTTGGGTTTGTCGAAACTGCGACTTGAGTCGAGCTTTTCACGGGAAGGGGTTATGAGCGCGAGTCCTACCGCCGCGACTGGGGCGTCATCAACAAAAAGACTTCACGTAATTAGGCTAGCGAACTGTCTCCTCCGTTGAAATGCTAATATACAGCTTAGGTACACGCGCACAACTTGTCCGGGAGTTCTCGCTCACCTGTTCCCGCTCCTCTGAGCCAACCATGCCATCAAAGTCCTCCAGAAAAACCACTCCCGAGCCTTCCTGTTGCAACTGTCAAGTCCAAATCACCTGTTCGTAGGTCCCTTATCGACTGTACTGAAAGACCTCTTCGTCGATCTCTGACCCCTCCTGGGGGCGGACTTCCGCAACAAGAAGATTGGCCTGCGATTGAACCAACCAAGGCCGGCACAATTCCATCAGGGTCAAGCCAGTCTCGTATCAAACCAAGTTTGAGCGAGAGTCTGTATGAAGGCATGCGGGCACTGGATTTGCAGGACGACAAGGGGAAGATTGGTCAAGCAGAATACAACGTCAAATTCGAAGGGAATGTTGCTGCTACCGGCGATCTCGAAGCGATGTCAGATGCAAACCGTATTCGGGAGACCGATGCCCCAGTCACGGCTGACGGTAGTGGCCGTCCTCTCTCATCAAGCCAGCTACCGAAACCTCGTGAATCTCTGCTTCGGTCATTGTCTCGCCACGTCGACTCCCCTGCACCCCGTCAAACCAAGACCTCAGCGCTGAGACTTCATCAGGCAAAAACGATCGCAGTATCCGTTGCAAAGAAGCCAGAAAGTAGTACTCATATTCCTTCTGATTCTGAGGGGACTGGATCTGCCTCTTTTTCACGTTCCAAGCAGTCTTTTCCTGGAGGCCCGATCCGTACAAATTCTCGTGGTCGTTATGGGGTCACAGGGCGAGGCTCCCCATACACCATACCTTCCCGCTCAAAGTCGATTCAAAAGTTAGCGACAAGAGCTGGGACATGCACTGAGCGAAGAACATTTCGCAGTCCAGCCACCAGTCAAGGTCTCGATCTTGCCCAGTATGGAGCCACACACCAGCAGCCTTCAGCGAGAGAAATGAATCGCAAGAGTTCCCTTCCTTTGCCGACTCGACTTACACGTCCATCATTGGACGAAAGCATCGAAGGGATCCTGCGCCAAACCGTTCCTTCAGAGCCGTTCATGAATTCCATGGTAGGCAAGCATCCCGTGGCAGATGACGTCCCAAGTCATCCTGTGAAAGCATTTGCCATCAATGGAGTCAACCAGAACAACGATCTTTCTCGAGCTACCCCCAAAGATAAAGGCAAACTTATGGACGTCAGAGAAGTGTTATCCACAACGGCTCCTCGCGATGACGAGTCCTTCGTTGATAGTGATGGGGAGTCAGGAGTCAGCATCCATGGCTACGATTCTTTTGGAGGCTATCGAGTCCGACGTATTCTGAATGGGTCTAGGATGGGTCCGACTCTTCGCATCACAGACTCTGCAAGTCGAGTGCTGCTGGGCCAAGACGACAAAAACACATTGAGGAAGCGAAGTCCCAAGTCTGCTTTGAAACACAAGGGAAGCGCTCCTCATATTGGCTCTCCACGCATGGCAAAAGACCAGATCAGACGATCCAGCGCCATCTTCGGCCGCTCGATGTCTGTTGTGAGAAACCTCGCAGATCGGCCCTCAAACCAGCTGAAACATGCAGACCAAGACGAGACTCGGAATCTCATTGGTGAGGATAGCTCTGTGGACACCGTTGTGCGAGCAGAGCTACCTAATAATAACATCGATACTGAACATGGTTTGCTCCTGGGCTCCCACATGGACCTCAGTGGCACAGAAGGGAATAAGGAGGCCGTTGTTTCCCAGACAACTCCAACCTCTATTCAGAGTGACTGGCCCTGCAAAGACTTTGCAAGTTTCGAACCGTGCTCTGACCATGATGCTATTGCCGCGAAACAGAAGGAAAACACCTCCAGCAGTGCGGCTGATGAACTCATCACGAAACGTCCTACACCCAGCTCATTGTCCCGGCCACCTACCATTGTCTTGCGTACCGCCCCGAATAAAGAAACAGCACCTTTCTTATTCCAGGACCTTGGACAAGAGCAAGCCAAACAGGAGAAACTCGTCAATGATCTCGCGAAAGCGACACATGACGAGGCGGCAATAATTTCGGGGCCTCAAAGTACTACCCCTTTCCCACCACGTACTTCGTCACGGAAGCCCAAACCACCTCCAATCATTGTCTCTCCACCTGAGCGTCACCTTCCTGCAATCAGCTTCCTCCCGCAGCGAGCACCAAAAGCATACGCGGTTAGCCAGGATAACATTAAAAAGCCACGCAATGTAAAGACCTTTTCCCAGAGCATCTCTCCCCGCACTGACTCCGTCAAGGGACGGAAGATATCACACGTGCTAGCACATAGTCCCTCGAGTTCCAGCAAGAAGAAAGTCATCTCCAATATTCGAGGCCTGTTCCACAAGAGGTCGGTGGAGTCGAATAAAGCAACAACGGCTGTCGTTGAGACCACCACCGTGTCGGAAGAGATGAACTCGCAGCCAGGTAGGCCAGCTGGTGCGCCCGGATCTCTACGACGCAAAACAGTTCCAGCTTCAACGTCAGCAGATGCGGATGATAAGAGGGCGAGTCCACCACTTCAAGTGAATGCTAGCGGCAGTGGGCAACCAGGACAAGTTAGCCCGAAGTTGACTCAACCTGGCCTACCGAATTCCGACTATCCACGCTTCCCTTGCGGAAACCAGGCGACAGAACCACGCCTTGAGCTCGGTCGCACGGACTCAAGAGCACCGAAGCGGAAGAATCCCTTGATTAGCCCGACTACTCCTTTCACGGCAAACCTCAACACATCAATGTATCCAAGTTCGCCTCTCCCAAGCAGTGCAGTTGCCGCTAACGCAACGATAAACAAGATGGTCTCTCCCACCCTTCACGCCCATCCACAAGCACGATCGCCAGCAACTTTATCGCCAACCATTCCACAGACACTAGCTGCCACGACAAGCATGACCCACTCTCTCCTAGATCTCGCGCGCACCTCGGCTGACCCTAACCGCAAGGCACGCCTTATTCAACTCTCAAAGTGCATGGTTGAAGTCGTTGGTTCGGCCAGAGACGCGGAAAAGGCAATGGAGAAGGCCAGGATGGAGGCGAGCCGCGCGGAGTGTGCATGGTTGAAATGTTTGAAGGAGATTGGACAGGTGGAAGGTCTGGTTAGGGGTCTGATTGAGCCCGAGACAATGAGGAAGTGAAGTGGCTAGGGTTCAGCGAAAGGGGACGACATGGACGGCCAAAGGAGTCAGTCAATTGCGTGCGCTCTGGCCATATCAAGAATCGGAATACACGTTAAAGGAGCCAACCGCAACCAAGTAGCGATGGGGATTTCGTGGCCCTTTTCCTTGTTGAAGTGTCTGCTTCTACAGAGTCCAAGCGAAAAGAAAACACCGAGAGAAATGTTTCCCTTGTTGTTGGAAATCCTACTACATCCTTACTGCCAGGATATCTACGAAACCTACTGTGGCCGGTGATGGTGAAACAAGGAGCTGGTTCGAGGTCCGCGGAAGGTATGTACCTGTATTTCAGATGGCCTACGAGCTGGACTGTCCAGATCATGATACGACTTGTGGGACTGCGCAAGGCTTGAGATGCTTTTGAAAGAGAGAAAATGGGTTCACATTGATTAACTAGTGTTTGCCTCAAATTATGATGGTTTGAAAAGAAGAACAGGTTGATGAGACTACTCCATTCTCGTAGATTCTCTTTCTCTTCTCTGCGAACGTTCTGTATCCAATAAAAAGAACATAAGGAAAAGAACGCCCATGTTTGTATATCCCAATTTGTCCAGCCTTGTCTTGCCGTTGATGCTATCCTCCTGCCCTTTCAAAACAGACGTTGATCACCAATTATCTACTTCTGACCACCTCGAACGCCGCCAGTATGTCCTTCTCGACATGCATAATCCTATTGGTCTGCTGCTCCATTGTGATTCTCCCCATTACCCGCCACTGTTAAAGGTCACAGTATATTAAAGAACCTTAGAGCGACTGATCCTCGAGGATGGCGTGCGTTCTGACTGCGGCGTACTTAGTGTTGCAGCCCTGGCGAAGCCCATCTGCTCGCTGAAAAGGCTCGCGACCATGGCAAAGTCTGGATGGTCCGATGGGATGGGTATTCGCGTCGTGTCTGTAACTCCTCTCAAGGCTTCGGGAAGGTCTTCAACGAAGGACTCCGAAGGGGTAACGGAGGTGAAAGAAACTCCTTTTAACGGCGGACCTCCCGCATTGGTGGGTTGCGTTGTCGTTGTCGTCGCCCAGTCCGTCACAACAGATGTGACCGTGACGGTGCTTGCAGATGGCACGACGAGTTGCGACACGTACGCCGAAGCGTCTCGAAGAGCACTTCGCCAGTTCGCTGCGGCAGACAGGGCACGAGTGGCACGTAGTTGAATGCCTGTCCCCAGATCTCTCGACCGGTCTCCCAAGTGGATACTCTCAATTGTACTCCCAATCCACGGGGCTGTGAGAGCGCTGATGCCAGCTATGCTGCCGGAAAACACCAGCCATTCGAGAAACTCGCGCTGCGTAACGGTGTTCCAGACCGCTAGGGCTGCGTCCTCGAGGGAACACGAGATGTACTTCTCCCGCCGGGCTTCGGCGACAGCTTCAGCCAGGGTCTGAGCCGGTGGTTGGGCTTCTGGATGGGAGAAGAGCGAGGCCTCCTGAGCAGACATCCATTCGCAGTAGATGTTGGAGGGAGCCACTCTCGAGTAGACGGTGACGAATGCGCCGCTTTTGGGGTCGACCCGTTCAACTCTCTCGTCTTCTTGCGGACGACGCCCGTATCTCTTCTCCCGAATTTCTCGAATTTTGGTCTTGAGGACCATGGTCGACCACTCCGTCCCTGGAATCGGTGCTAGGTCTGCAACGGCATCCCGTGCGGCATCCGTCTCTTGCAAGTCGTACGGGTACAGATTGAAGAGTCGCTGTTCGGCTTCTTCCCGGGTGAGCTCTTGCCCTGCTGCTCGCGCCGCCTCCTGTGCTTGTTCGAGTTCGAGAACGTCGAGGCCATGCGGTACCACAGCTTCGACTCGCCCAAAGCAGGTCATCTTGATCTTCAACTGATCACTTGTCGGAAGAGACTGAGCTTTTTGCGCGTTCAACCGGTAGGCATTGACGCAGATATTTCTATCCACGTCTTCTCGACTCAATCTCGTGCCCTTGGGCACGTGGGGTGCGATGCGCACGACGACGCCGTTGACACCTGCGAAGCGAATGCAGAGATGCAGACTGCCCGCCATCCTGATCAACTCGACAAGCTCGAGCAATATCCCAAACCGCATCTCGGCCCCTTCATCCCTGACTCTCGACGACTGTCTCCATTTCGGCACGAGAGGGTCAAAGAACGGAGGCGGGAGGAGTGGCTCCAAAACGAGCAGCAGATTGGTAGCCATCTTGCGAGCGGCAATCTCTAGGTTGTCTATATGCTCGTAATTGTTGGGAAATTCTGCGCTTGGGAAATAAGTCTCGCCGATCTTGAGTTCCTCCAAGCACTCTGCCTTCTTCTTGTTCCGCACAAAGGCATCGTAGTGGAGATACTTGCGGTCAATGTCTTCGAGTGCGCGAACCTTGTCGTCCGGGATGCTGAAAGCGGTGTGCTTGAAGATGCGCTGCTGGAACCACTCGCCAATAACGCCGTGTACGAGATGTCGTCGGTGTTCCAGTTTTGTGAAAAAGTTGCGCCAACCGTACTCACACCCATCCGCAATCCTCTGGGTCATCAGCATCAGTGGCAGGTATTTCGTGGCCAACAGATGCATGGGCCACGCCTTCTCCTGTTCTGATGTAAGCCCGAAAGCGAAGTGATCACCACAGAAACGCGAGATCCTTTCTTGTAAGACCATAAAGAGCGCGCTAATCTCGTCAAGATCCAGAGACCTGGGTACCTTTTGGACGTCTGCAAATAGTTGCTCCGCCAGTACCACGGGGTCATTGTGATCCACAGCGCCTGGCTGGGAAGTTCTGCTTTGGGGTGTTGAGGGACTGACGACCGTAGGTGGTGCGGTTCGTTTACGCTTCGGTCGGGGTCGGGCGCTTCGCTGCGAAACCAGACTTGGGGAGCGCTGTGCAGGCCTGGGTGTGCGAGGAGGTTCCGAAGGTCCAGAGCTTGAGGAGGAGCTGGAAGTTGGAGACGATCTTTGGGTACGTCTCGCAGCACGCTCTCGCATATGGCGCTCATGGTTATCCCGATTGACTCTGAGATGGATCCGTTGGAGCGGATTGGGTGGTAGATCTCCGGGGACATCATCGTCAAGGTCTTCGTCGTCATCGTCCTCCGAATCTCCATCAGACTTATAGGCCTGATAGTCGAACGGTCTGGTCTTCCGTTTGCGCGCTCGGGATTTTTGTACTTGCGGCACATTGATTTCTTCCTGTTCACTGGAGGACTCGTCTTCGACTGCCACTGTGGACGTTGGTGCGATTTTCTCTGCTGATACGGCTGACAACTCGTCCTCTGAATCGTCCTCTTCTACATATGCCTGTTCGTCCAAAGGCTTTAGTTTCCTCTTGCCGGCCTTGGTTTTGTCATGCTTTCGAGTTGTCATTGCTATCGCCGGGGGAGGACTTGAGACGAGAGATCCGATCTGGCCTCTCGGAGACTTGCTTGTTTCGCCATCTTCGGGGTCTGTTGATGTCTCGGTGTTGTCAGGTGTGCCCTGTGATACAGCGCCTCGGCTTCCTTTTCCATCTTTCTTGTCGGCATTTGGCGGTTCCTTTGTGTGTTTGGTAGTCGCAGGCGTTTTCTTAGCTGCCGTGGCTTTGGCCTTGACCTCGGCTGAGGCAGCTTTGGCCGGAGTACTTCCCACCTGTGTCGAACTTGTTGCCACATTCGGGGGCGCTGTGGTATTGTTGCGGCGAGCTGTTATGGGATTTCTTGCGTTGCCGGTGGCCCCTTGGTTTGTAGCAGCAGAAGCGCTTGCAGCCGGAGGCGACGGCACTGCAGGCGTCCTTCTCATGGCAGATGGCCTTGTCATACTCCGAGTTGGAGTGGTGGTCGGCTTTGCGCGTGGAGCCATGGTGGAGTCTCGAGCTCTGTAGCGTGATAATGGTGGACACCTTTCCTCAATAATCTTTCAAGGGGAATGGGCAAGTATCGGGTCATCAGAAACAAAAGAGGTCAAACGAGTTGGGTGGGAATATATGAGGGAGAAATGAGTATAAAGCATGCAACATGGCCGTTCCGGAAGCGGAAGAAAGAATCAGCACCGTTTTCATCCAAGATTTCATTGTTATTTTATGAGAAGATTGTCACTGTAATTTCTGTCGCTTTGGTTCTCGGTTCGACCAAAGCCAGGGTGCGGCAGGGCATGTGACAACCCGAAGTCCGTTGCTGCAAACACATCCTTTGACAAAGAAGAGAGGCCTGTCGTCCAAAGGTCAGGTTCAATCAAAATCGCTTAGTCGCGACCTAGAGCTTTGACCCTGAAGTCTCGCTCCTGGAGCAACAGTCAGTGATAGGAGTTCAGCATCGCCAGTGTCCTACATGCCCCCTCACAATGCTGCGATACACTCAATCTCAACCTGGCTGCTGTTAGCCTCAGCCCATGAATGGATCAGTTGGGGAGCATTACATCTGTCTTGAAAGGGAGCTCCTTGACGCAGACACAGGTCCGTGCTGGCTTTGGGTCCGGAATGAACTTGGCAACTATTTTGGGTCAGGCAGGAATGTTGAGACGAGGCTGGGGAACCACGCACAGGCCTCGTTCATGGCAGCATAATCCTCCATGCTTGTCAAGTAGATGTTCATCTGGCCCTCGTCAGTGCTTCTCCCGGTACATAACCTGGAAGCGGACACACCTTGAGAATCTGTTCGAGGCTGCTTCCGGCTTCTTCCAGGATGGCTTGGATGTTTTCGAGGGCTTGTTTCTATAGGCAATTGGTGTTAGTCAATGACTAGATGGCACCAGCAGCGCCTTGTCCACGAGGGTCCTGACCGTCCTGTCTGCCACGGATCCTTCCACTATCTTCATCGTAGAGGGAACGATGCCGATGTTTCCGCTGACAAAGATGGTACCATTGTGGATGGTAGCCTGAGAGAAGAGGTTGGACTTGAGGCCTTTGTCTGACGTTACCACTTGTTTGGGAGCCATGTTGGATGTAGACTTGAGTGTGAATGAGAGAGGAACACAGGAACACAGGGGATCCTTTCACAATAAATCCAGAACAGAATACGACAACAGAGAGAAAAATCTAATCATCAATGGTATTCTTGAAGTTTGTGTTGCCTGCGCCCTACGATACGACGCCGGCATCGCAGCAGCAGCAGCGCAGCGCGTACAGAAATGCGAGAGACGGAGAATCGCGGCTGCCCCACCAAAACGGACAATTCCTGCGCCATCCAAGTCTTAATTGACACTGTTGACCACTCACTCACTCTCTCACTGCTCCATCACCTCCATCACCACCATCGTCGCCGACACCTTCCTCTCTCATCCATCATTCACTCATCTTGCTCATGAAGGGCCTCGACGACGTCTCTAACACAATCTTTCCGCGAATACACACCACGCCACCTGCCACGATTCCCCATCCTCCTTTCCTCTCGCCCACCTCACCCTCCAAGCTCGATGTTCCATACCACAAAGACAAACCACCAAAGACTCCTTCATCGTTGCCCTCGACGCCGCGTGACGGGCACGAATCCATAGTCTACCAAGTCCTCGCGCGTCCTTCGCCCAATCTCGGCGTCGCGAAGCTCCCTCTCCCTCTGTCGGTCTCTAATCTGTTGTTCTTCTTCTCGCTGTCTCCTTCTCTCAGCATACGACTCGGCCTCCGCCCGCAGACTTGTGAGTCTTTCACTGGCGATAGGCATCTGCATGATGCTCTGATAGTCCTCCATGTGCTGTGTCAACCGGTCTTGTGTGCCAACGGAACGCTCGTGGAGTGTGAGCCATCTCCTTCTAAATTCATCGGTCCGACGTTCCTCGATCGCCCTCCGGTCCTCGAGCTCCTGCTGGTCTCGAGCGTATACTCCGTCCAAAATCTCGTTGAGCTCGCCGAGGCTCCAATGACCATCCCGAATTCGCTGTCCTCCAGGACCCCCAGATCTAGTCTCTCGGAAACCCACATAGCGTATGTCGTCGTCTGCCAGAAATATTCCTGGTCTTCGCTGCCCAAGTGCCCAAGGATCGACGCCCACCCTCCAGTGCGACGTGTGGGTGAAGCCGTCAGGAGTCTGATATGCCTCGTAATCGCTGATCGGTACCCAGTGAGTTCTTTTGCAGGGACCCCATCCTTTGGTGACTGAGATTCTTCGTACTTCTCGGAAAGACATGTTTAAGGAGGTATGCGATGGTGTTAACGATGCGATCGATAGCAGTGTTCAGAAAGAGTCGATTGTTCTGTTCTAATCATTGATCCAGGAAAGTGGAAGCTGCACAGAAGAAATACCAATCGCAGGCAGATGTTGTGGTGATTCTCAACAAGACCACCGGCCAAAAAGGCGTCAGTGTTACACCAGTGGGAAAGCACAGATATGACAAAAGGTATCCAATCAAATGCTCCAGTCCTGGTTTTCCAGATGAGATGACCGCACCAGAATGGGCAAATTGATACGGATGACCTTGGACTTGGCTTCAACAGAGGCGCCTCTTCCAGTGGAACCACTGCTTTGCCCGGGAAGTTGACGTACAACGATTTGACAGGATGCCAGTGCGGTCTCTTGGTCGCCGCTCAACCTGAGACTTCCCCGATTGCTTTGCGCCCTGCTAAGCCTTAGCCATCCTACACACCCAGCCATCTCACTTCGTCAGAGATCTCAGCCACGATTCAACCCTGGTCTGTAGGGAAACTCCATCCTCGCCTTCGTGCTCCCCTTCCTGTTCTCTTCTTAACAGCACAGGGTCTTCGGGATCCCAAGCCACCACCGAATTCAACGCCCGGCTCGCAGCAAGAACACGCCCGTACTCACACATCTCATCAGGCCGTGCGCAGATGTGTAAACCCTGGCTCATTTGTCGATTCTCACGTCTGTTGGGGGGCTTAGCCTTCCACTCTGTGTTTGAGTCAAGCCAGCAGATTGGGGAACCCAGCTCTTGACCTTGTGAGGTGGCTTTGGACATATCTGGCGGGCCAGACGCAAAGAGGTTATCTTGCCTCGGGTTGTGGATGCGTTGCCTCCAGCCCTCACTGATACACTCTTCAATGATCTGGTCCAGGTTGACATTCACAATATTGTGCAACGACTGTGCGACTGATAGAGGAGCGGTGAGGGTCTTTGACCTTATCTCTCTGTCTTCTTCAACTTCGCTTGTGAGTGCTTCGAAGCGTCTGCCCACCGCCACTAAGGGAGTGCGGAGCCCGGTATCCTGTGCTCCAAAAATGCCATCGTCGACGGAGAGAGGAATGTTTGCGGGCAACAAGCTGATAGTTGAGGCCCAAGGATGTGGCTTGGGGGAATAGTGTATTTCTGCCCTCGAGGATTGTGAAGCTTCTTCTGTTCCAGCCTCCAGCCATGATCCGGGAGTGGTGGCCAGAGCACCCAGATCAAGAGTGCCTGCGAACATGTCGGATATCGAGTCAGATCTGCCACGTGCCACCCTGGCTCTGTGGCCAGCGGCGCAGCACTCGTCCCCTTCTTCCTTCTTGACCTCTGCCTCTGACATTTCGTGTCTGCGCCCAGATCCAGGCGAGCAACCCTGTTCTTCAGAGCCCACCTATCAAAGACACCACCTTGCTGAAAGATCTTTCCGCTTCACGATAAAGCTGTCGATGCAGATGGATAATACCACTCGAGGCCGAGCGGAAAGAAATTCTTGTTTTGTACAATTCGTCCCAGGACCGTGATCTAACGGCGCAAAAGCTCCAGATCTCGCAGCGAACAAGAGAGAACTACATGGACGATGAAAGCCAGGTGAGATGAAACAGTCAGTGATACATCAGAGGGAAGAACAAAGGCGAGGAAGGGATATTAACTGCTTCGCCGACCCGACGAAGTGAGTTCTCAAGATCTGCCCATCTTCCGGCGCAGGTGGAGATGGATTTGGAGGCTGAATTTAACGAGTTTATCCTTATGGTCTCAAACAAAACAGCACAATGCAAGCGCATAGAGTGAGTTAAGTAAACGAGAGGGGAAGACGTAAGAAAAGATTAAACCCAGCTGCTGTTGCTGGACTGTTCCGGACCTCGCGTGCCCTCAATCGGATCAGGTGTCTGAAGCCTCTCTGCCGATGCTGTTGTTGGTGAGTCGACCATAGCGAATCGGAGACCGGCAGTGATATTTCAGAGGGCGATGAATGCATTCATTCATTCATTCATTCATCCATTCATCCACCCATTCATCGACTTGCTTGTCTTGATTCAAACATGTATTCACAACTTCCGTACGCACGAGTCCACTGGCCTTCCACATTTGCATTCACATTCTCACCGTGCCCACGACATTGATCCATCCCATCTAGTTCGGTGATATGCAACAGATGCATTTCTCGTCCTATACATGTGCATAACTGCGTGTCCCCGAGGTCGGTGATGCACGGAAGATCCAGCGCAATGCTTTCCTTTAACAGACTCCGGCGTCTATATCCGGATTATGACCATCATCTCTCGGCCCCTTCCGTACTCTCTTACTGTGCCATTTCTCCTAGTCCCCTGACAAAATTGCCGACATAACCTCCTCGAGGTCCTCTGTGCTAGAAAGTTAGATGACCCAGCACCCCAGGCAACAACCATTTGTCGATATGGTGTCCTCGGACATCGTGCGAAGTGGTTTGCACAGACACGCTGTCCTGGCATTAACTGGGAGCTCTCGTGTCGACATCCGCTCTGCACAGGACTGCGAACCAAGGTGTCCGCAGTTCCAGAGTCTTGAGAGGAGAACCGGGGCAGAAGGCTCTTCGATCGCAACTTTGTATCATCCCGGAATGGCCACCAGGACCATTCTAACGAGTTTGCCGTTGAGGCTATTCCGGTGCTGCGGCAGGAAAGAGTGCTCAGGAACATCGCCGCATATGGCCAACACCCAACGATTGAGGATAGGATGGTGAAAGCAGGTGATGCTAGCTATTCTGGTACGGGC